ACAAAACACTTACACACATGAAATAAAAACAAATACATTTACAAGGAACAGCAGGAAAACACAAAATACTGACTTGAGAGGACCTAAAGGAAAAAGCAGTATTTGAAATTTTGTTTTTGAAACACACAAAGAATAATGGGCAGGTATAATGTGATTCACCCCTATGACAGGTGTAATACAGGCAAAGCATAGTAGCTCTTCTGAGAAGCTGCCTTGCGTGTCAATGTCTGCTAGGAATACACTGGGGGAGTGGGTAAAAGTCTGGCCACAGTAGCTTAAACAAATAAAGTCTTTTATCCCCTAACATAGAGATAATGTGGGAAGCCCAGGATCGGTGCGTGGGAATATAACACTGCCAAGATGCTAGTTCTTGGGCAGTATGCCTTAGCATGCTGGTGCTCACCCTTACTTGTAGATGTCTCGTGGATGCTACTCCTCAGGATTATTACACTTGTACTTCAGGCTTTAAAAGAGCCAGAACGACATGGAGTATTCTGGGCAAAACTCTTTATTAGGTTTTTGTTTCTTGTTTTTATTTCTTGTGTGTTCTAGCTATTAATCTTTCTCCTGTTCTGTAGGCTGCATCTTCACATGATCAACTGTCTCCTTTGCAGTATGGGAATGTAAATTGTATGAAATTTCACTTATTGACTGCTCACCTTATATTCTGAGCAGCTGGACTCTTACTCCTAAAATCTTTACCCAGGCCTGTATCTCCTGGTATACTCACTATGTTTTTCTCTGCTTCATTGTTTCAGGTTTTACATTAAGGTCTTTGAAGTTCTTGGAATTGATTTTTGCGCTGGATACAAGATAGGAATCCATAGTCACTTGTCTGCACATGATATTCAATTTCTCCAGTGCCCTTGTCAAAGAGGTTGTTTGGACATCTCTGTAAAAAGATTTGGGCTGCAGTTGTGTAGACTTAAATCTGAATCTTCTTGCAAAAGATCAGTCAAGATCATGGACACTGAAATGAGCAACAGCAGGGGACTCAACTTATTTGGGACTTAGAGTGCAGAGCCTTTATTCTTAATAGTAGTATTCTGTTGCAGCTTTGATTACAAAATACATAGTGTGTAAGATACCAATCTGTAACGTCGGCTCTTTTCTTACTGGACAAAGAGCAGCTTTCTATATGTTACTACCTGAGCCTTCTTTCCAGAAGATAAATGTGAAGAACATAATGTCCTGCCAAGGAAATACTTGTTGGAATGTGAAGGCAGTATTCGGACAGAACTCTGAGACATCCTCTCGCTTTCAAGGGACGTCTGGCATGTGCATTATCCTGGCCTGGCATCAGTTCAGCAGATCTCCTCATCTTCCTCTTTTCCTTTAGCCACATTTTGTAACATAATGTTGAATACAGCTGCTCAGCGTTGAGTCATTTCTTGATGTTGGGAAGTTTTATTTTCCCCAGACCATTAAAAATAACAAAAATAAGCAAACCTTCAATATAAACATTGTAGCATAGGAGGAGCTTGCAATCTCAAATTGATTAAATGAATTTAACTTCCCCAAGCCATCAGCAATACCCCCCAAAATCTGTCACCAGACAGTTCATGCAATTGTTCTGCAAACATGTGATTTAATATCAGACTGTAATTTCAATATTACCATGATTTAATAAAAAGTTTCTAACCTTATCCCAAGGGAACAAGGTCTGATTCCAGTGCAATGAATTGAGTCACATTCCAATTGCCTCTTAATGGTAATTGTCTTTGTTAAGATAATAACATAACATAACCACAGTGGATTTTAAGTCAATGGTTTCAACATGCAGCCTACTATTTATATGTCTTTGAGTGTTTCATAATTTTTCTGAAGCATAGTTCCATGTTTAAATGTAATGTACATGCTTTGATACAGGGCTACTCCAGGAGCACCAGCAGTGGCAGTAATGGCAGCATTTCCCAACACATTGGCAATAATTACTTCAACCATTCTTTCAGTTCTTTTCTTCGTTTGGTCAGATATATGATAAAACATAGACGTGCAAGGAGATTCTTCCCAGGATCAACCCATCTGTACAGACATCTAAACTCTAATGTGGGCTCAAAATACACAAACGCTCTGGTAACTCAAATTATTAGGAATATAGAACAATTGGAACAAGATACATAGTCTTCAGATTGATTCCAAGTAGTTTTCCCAATCATAAAGAAATAAGAAAGATGAACACAAACCATAATGTTATGAGACTGATTTTTTTTTATAAAAGAGAACATAGTTTCATTGTTAAAAATCTTTTTCTATATATTCCCTTTCCAGGCCCAAATGCTACCCAATGCTGATATGAGGAGATAGATGTTGTGGGAAATTTGTTCACACTGTCACTCTGAGACTGGCAGTAAAGTTAAATCTTGAATCAGTGGATGGAGTCCATGTTCAGCTGGCCAGGGATAAACCATAGAGTTTTTGGTGGACCCAGAGTAGGATAGAGAGACACAGGAGGGAGTAGGGAGGGGCTTAGAAGGATTCACAGGTTCTTTAGATATGGGAAGGTAGAGAGGCAGGGTCAGCTGATGGTTTCTCCAATGGGGATCTGTGGATCTATGAGGTTTCTGCCCCGGTGTTTGACTCCAGAGGTCTTATTGCTGAAATATAAATGCTGCATCTGGCGTTCAAGACTGGCATTGTTAAAATCACACTAAGGTGGTCCTGAAAAAAATACAAACCTACGATATAAGATAGGTTTACAAAACATTCAACCACAGAAAGCACAAATCAAGAAAACAATTATGAATTCTTAATGATTTTCAAAAATTACTGCAAGATATTAACTGGACAGGGACAAAATTAGATTAATCACTGAAGAGCTAAGTAATTATTCCAAACCTTACAAGGTGATAAGGTCTTAAATAGTCCAAAAAATTATCAGCTGAGATGGAAAAAACATTGGTTTTGGTTAGAAAGAAACTACAGATTGTGCATGTGGAATGCTTGGATCCAGAGTTTGATTGTATTCAGGTTACTTTACCTTCTATGCATTCTCCCACAGGAATTCTTATGCAAAAGAGAGGTACTTTAGAATGGGCATTTTGCCACACAAACAGAGTAGAACATAAAGACCTGGGTAGAAAATGTTTTTGATTTGGTTCTGAAAGGAAAATTGAGACTTTGTCAATTAACAGGAATAGATCTAACAGAAATTGTGGTCTTTTACTAATGCTGAAATTGCCTCATTATGGCCAGAAAAGGAACATTGGCAAAGAGTTTGCAGTAATTTTTTGGGAGAGATTAGCAAAGGTTTGAAGAAAGATTTTTCTATCTCTTGGTAGCAAGCCAAGGAAATGTCCTACTTGTCCTTTGTATAACCAAATTCTATTACTTGCAGGAAATAAGCCAAATGCACTCAAGTAAATGAAATTTGGCAAATGAATATGTTTCATTTTGAGGAGTTTGGAAGATAAAACTGTGTGCAACATACTGCTGTGGTACAATCTCTTTGTAAACTATGAATATGTAGTACTCTCATTGGTCAATAAAGGGCTTACTGGCCTATAGCTGGGCAGTAGGAGGTTAGGCAGAAAAACAGAGTAAGAGGATCCTGGGAGGAAGAAGGCCAGAGTCAGAGGATTCGCTATTCAGATGCAGAACAGGTTGAACACACAAAATTGCTATCAATGGACTGGTGATCTACTTTTGCTTAACTCCACTGATAATTCCTTGAAACAGTTTCTGTTTTCATAGTTTGTTTCCTTTAATAAAATCTTCAGAAGGCTGTAACTTGGTGTCATTGTTAGGGTAACTATTGCTTTGATGAAACACCGTGACCAAAGCAAGTTGGGGAGGAAAGGGTTTATTCTGCCTATACTGTTACATCACAGTTCATCATCAAAGGAAGTCAGGACAAGCAGGGCAGGAACCTGGAGGCAGGAGCTGATGCAGAGGCCATGGAGGGTGCTGCTTACTGGCTTGCTTTTCTTGACTTGCTCAGCCTGCTTTCTTATAGAACCCAAGACCACCAGCCCAGGGAGGGCACCACTCACAATGGGCTGAGCCCTCCTCCATCAATCATTAAATAAGAAAACGCCATACAGGCTTGTCTGCAGTTCAGTCCTAAGGAAGCATTTTTTTTTAATTGAGGTCCCCTCCTCTTAGATGACTTTAGCCTGTGTCAAATTGACGTAAAACTATCCAGCACACTTTGCATAGATAAAAATGTCTTTATTGGGTCTTGAGAGATTCTCTGTGGTCAAGAATGTTTTCAGTTTCCTGTGCCCACAAGTGGCTCACAACCATCCTTCTTGTCTCCTCCGGCATCAGGTACACATTTAGTACAGACACACAGGCAGGTGAAACACTCAAAAGAAAATAAGTTTAAAAGTTTCCTAGAAACGTTAGGATCTCCTTTTGACACCAGTTTCTGAAACCACGTTGTAACAGTTGCTGACAAACCTATTTTTATCTATTTTGTGAATTCACTTCTCAGAAAAGCATGTCCGGAATGTTTAAGAATAATTTTCTTTGATGAAAAACATTTTTTTCTGCTTTTCATGAAAAAAGTACAATGTTTGTAATATAGGAGAAAGCTGTCAGATTTTTGTATATCAGTTGTTTAGTAAGCAGCGATTTGGTGTTCTTAGGCATGCATGGTTATATGTATGCCGGGCAGTTTCTAGAATGCTTATCTATCTTATGAGTGTGAGTACTTTGCCTTCCGTGGGCGCTGGAAATTGAACCCAGGTAAGAACAATTGCTTTGGTCCTGTATCGAGCATCTTCAGAGTCTGGGGAGGGTGAAAACCGCATGGAGGACCGCACAAGACCAGAGGCAGCAGCGGCGACCAGCGCTCCCGGCCTGCTCTGCTCACCCCGCCTCCCACGCCGGGCTCCCTCTGTAGGCTCCGCCTCCCACGCCGGGCTCCCTCTGTAGGCTCCGCCTCCCACGCCGGGCTCCCTCTGTAGGCTCCGCCTCCCACGCCGGGCTCCCTCCCTAGGCCCCGCCCTTTGCCCCACGTGTACTCTTTGACCCGCCCACCCGCCCCTTCCGCCGGGGTCACTCTGAACCCGGAACTTCCGGTCCTGTCGTCGCGCGAGCTTGCCGGTGGCGTTGGGCCGCTGAGGGAGGCGGCGGAGGCGTCCGGGCCGCGGGCTGAGAGTCTTGTGCTCGTCACGCAGGAGCTGGTAGGCTGGGGGCGCGCAGGCCGTCTCCTGGCGCCAGCGCTGGCCCGCGGAGGGGGGACGGGGAGCGGGCGGCCCGCGTGGGTGCCGCGGGGCGAGGGCCTGGGGTCGGGGCGGGGGCCTGGGGTCGCGGGTGGGGCGGGGCGGGGCCGGCGTGGGTGCCGCGGGGTGGGGCGGGGCCGGCGTGGGTGCCTCGGGGCCCGGGACCCGGGGTCGCGAGTAAGGCGCGGAGCCACCCACCGGGGCCTAGCCCGCGCGGGAGCCGCCACGGATGCTGAGCTCACCGGCCCCCTTCCCGCGCTAGGTCCGGAGCGAGCGATGGAGTACATGGCAGAGTCGGTCGATCGCAGCCCCGGACACATGTGAGTCGCCGCGAGCCTCCCCCTCCTGCCGCGGTTTACAGATCCTACAATGAGAGCGGGGAAACTTCCAGGGAAAGCTGTTGGTGGCAGAAGCCCCTTTCTCGGTTGGGGGGAAAAAAAAAACCGAAGTCTTCATCCCTTAGGGAGTGTAGTCCATTTGGATGTATTCAGTTCTCTTCTAAGTTCGATCTGGAACATGCCTGCTTCTTTCCTGACGCCCCGCCGGAGCCGCGCTGCGCACACCATGTCCCAGTTAGTTATAGCGCAGCTCCCCGACGCCCCAGCCGCACACGGGGAGCTCAGTACGTGCATATAACTAGTGGCTGCCACTGGAGCTTTAATGCATTTTAATTAATTCTGCTACAAATAGAGCCCTGCTGTGTAGCCCCGACTCGCATGAAATTCACCCTGTAGCCAAGACTGGCATCGAGGGCCTGCTCCTCCAGCCTTAGCCTCCCCAGCGCTGCCCTCACGTCAGGCCCAGTGCACAAACTCTTTCTGCTTCCAGTTCTGTCTAGAGTTTCAGCAGACATAGATGCTCTTCCTGTCCTGTAGTGTGTTTGACTCTTTAATTTTAACATAAAAGTTAATGTCATATATGTATATATATGAGTGTATGAGCATACATATATTTAACATTGTACAGTGCTCACATTTACCCTACCACTAGGCTTCACTGTCTCCCCCTCCCACTGATCCGCTTTCTCCCCCAATAACCTCCTTTCTGTTTTCATGTTATACACACCTTATCTTTTACCGTGGGCCCCGGTAACGGAACTGTCCCAAATGTCGTGGAGGTCGTGCTCAGATCAAAGACATCTAGTTGGATGTGTCCTAAACCAGCAAATGTTTAGAAGATTAAGGAGAAACTGCTCTTACATGTTTGTTTTGGTTGTTAATTTGTTTAGTTTTGTTTTTGAAACAGTCTCACCATATTAAGCCCCAGCTGTTCTGGACCTCAGAGATCTGCCTGCCTCTGCCTCCTAAGGGCTGGGCCCAAAGGTGTCTCCACCCCACAGGGCTGTGTAAGGTGTCTCCACCCCACGGGGCTGTGTAAGGGTGTGCTCCACCCCACGGGGCTGTCTTGTTTACATGGGATCTACTTCAGTTTTACCATTGATGTTACACTATTTCCATTGTTAATCTGTTTTATCCTTAGTTTTCCAATTTTAAAGAAGGGATGATGAGTGACTAGAATATTTCTGTCATTGCATGAAGTTCTATTGCAGTGTCATGTTTTAAGCATTTTTTCAATGTAGCCTCCTTGTTTTTTGGGTCGGTGTTCCAGGGTTCTTCTTCACTCTTGATTTTAAGATTTTTTTTTCTGCCTTAGGGTGTCCCCATTTGACACAGGGTCTCATTGTGTAGTCCTGGTTGGCCTGGGACTCACAGAACCTTGTTTCCTGCTTCCTGATTAAGATTAAAGGGGTGTCCCACCATGTTCAACTTGTCCTTTTTTTTTTTTAGTTGTTTTGTGTGTGTGTGTGTGTGTGTGTGTGTGTGTGTGTGTGTGTGTGAGTGTCTGTGTATGTACCATGTGCATTCAGGAGCCCATAGAGATCAGAAGAGTAAGGGTTGAATCTCCTGGAGCTGGAGTTATAGTTGGTTGTAAGCTGCCACTTGGGTGCTAAAAACTGATTCTGGGTCTTTGATTTGGTAGGATGCATATATGTATGTATGCATATATGTATGTGTGTGTGTACTTTTGTGGCCTAGTGAATTTATAAACTCTAATTGGAAAATCTTTTACTTATTTTCTCAAGCTTGTGCTGTGAGTGTGGCGTTCCAATTAGCCCAAATCCTGCCAATGTTTGTGTAGCCTGTTTGCGAAGTAAAGTTGACATCAGCCAAGGTGTTCCAAAGCAGGTCTCCATTTCTTTCTGCAAACAGTGTCAAAGGTACGTTACAGTATGTCACTTGTTTAGCTTGTGTAAGTTGGTGCTCATCCGGAGAGCCGCTGTGATGTGCTGGGATTGCACCAGAGTACCCAGAAGGAAGCGTGTGCAGTTGAGATTTAAGTGTTACTTAGGTTGATGGTACCAAGGATTTCGTAATTTGCAATTTTATAGTGTGCTTTCTACTGTCCTACTAATTTGGTAAAGATACTAAAAGTCCTACTATAAATAGTATTTTGAATTTGACAGTAGAAGATGCTTTTTGAGAGAGGATGTTTCATTACTTCTTTAGTTTCATTCTTTTAGTTGTTGGCACAAGCTACTTACATCTGGTGGTCCATTGAGAGACATAAAACTTGCCAGTGAATAGAAAAATTATATTCCTGTAATTTCCCAAATAGGTTTAGCATTTGGCTTTGTATATGTGGAGGTTGTGTGACCTCCCCAAGAATTCAAGTTTGTCTCCTCAGCATGTCTGTGTGCACATACACAAGTTCATGAACTTAGTGTACTATTGGTGGGATTTACAGTGAGTGAGCCTGGTAAGTATGAGGATTTTAATCTGTTGTAATTATTTATCTTTAAACATATGGTGGGGTTTTGCTAAACAATGAATCTAGTTTATCTTGGGTTTCATATCAACTGGTTTTCTGTAATGCTCAGGTATAGTCTCTCTGAGTATGAATTTTCTCATGAAAATGAAGGGATTTTATTAGATGATAGGTAATATCTGAAACACCATTTCAAAGTACTTATCAACAAATGGTTTTTCTTGAAACTTGAAGTATGAAAATTAAAGTGTTTAACCATTTAACAACCATGGCAAGAAAGCATTTACATAGCTCATTTGAGAGTATTTAGCAAATATGATAAATACTTACTGTGTACTCTTGTGGAACTTGCTCTGTAGACCAGTTTGTCTGTCTCTGACTCCCGAGTAGAGCACATCAGAGGCGTATATCACCAATGCTTGACTTATGAGGCTTATTTTGGAAATTGTGCTTTTCAGCTTAAAATTGGAACAACTTGATGACAAGCTTGTTAATACATGGTGCTGTGTTGTACTAAGTTTCTTGGTTTTTTTTTTTTGTATGTGTGTGAGAAATAAATATTTCTCAAACATTTTAGAAGTATAAAATAAACAATTTTAGTGTCATTTTTTGATGATTCTTACCTTTTTGTCAGTATAGCTTCAAGGAAATTTTGGGGGTATTGCCATCCTTACTGTAAGTTTTAGAATTTTGTTTTTCTTTTATTTACTGTCTGTGTTGGTATGTGTACATGAGCGCAGCACCCCTGAAGGCCTTGCAGGGCATTGACTATCCTTAGAGCTAGAGTTACATTTGTGGGCTGTCAATAGCGAGAGTACTCTTAACTGCTGACTCCTCTGCAGCCCTCCTCACTGGAATTGTTTATTTGTTCTAACATTTATGGATTTATTTTGTGTGTATGTGCTCCTTGCCATGCTATGTGTGTGGAGGTCAGAGGATGACTTAGGGTCGGTTGTCGCCTTCCAAGTGTGAACTCACATCATCAGGCCTGGCAGCATGCTTTACTCTCTGGAAATTTTACTAATTGAAATGATAAAATGTGTAATAGATAAACTCAGATGAGCTTTCTCAGAATTTCAATTTTGAGCTAAAGACATGGACTCTCATGGGCTTTTAGCCTTTGGGTTAAGGCTTCAGAGTAGCTTTGGTTATTGCTCCTGGTTAATGATGAGTATGATCTCAGCATATCCGATGGAAATTGCTATTTTTTTTTCTGAGAAGTGGTGGGTTTAGCGTGTTGTCTTCTTACAGATATTTCCAGCCACCTGCGTCGTGGGTACAGTGTGCTTTAGAATCCAGGGAGCTTCTTGCCTTGTGCTTGAAAAAAATCAAAGCACCTCTGAGTAAGGTAGGTGGAGCAGTCAGAATAAAACACTGTTTTCAGGAAACCCTTCTGGGTGCGTTTGTTCTGTTTTCGTGACTGTTGTTTGTTTTTCTCCTATTTTCTTTTCCTTCTGTTTTTTTTTTTTTTTTTTTTTTTTGTGCTGGACATTTAACCAAGTACTCTACCACTGAGCCATTTGCTAACACACACACACACACACACACACACACACACACACACACACACACACTTTTATATTGACTTTTGTTCAGTAGTAATACTTTTATTTATTATATGTGTGGGTCCTTTGCCTACATGTATGTCTGTGCATTGTGTGTGTGCAGTGCTTTTGGAAGCCAGAAGAGGTTGTTGGATATCCTGGAACTGGGGTTGCAGATGGTTGTGATATGATCTACGGTGCTGGGAATCGAACCTCAGGCTCTGTAAGAGCAAGCAGCAAGTGCTCTTAACGCCTGAGCCATCGCTCCAGCTCTAGCAGTACTATTTTAAGTTTGGATCCGTTCTGTCCTTGGGTTTTTAGTTGTCTGGAGGAAGCAATATAATCAGGGTAACTAGAAGGGATGCTCCATTGGTTTTCTTTCTAAAGTTTTGTTGTGAATAGAGAGCATAGGAAAAAGATTTCACGGTTAGATGGAGGCAGAAGAGACTGGAGAACCGTATGAAGATTGATTGTAGGAAATGAGAGGGTGACTGAGGTGTCTGGAACCACGGTAAAGGATAAAGGAAGGACTCAGTAAAGTTGGCAGGTACCTCTCTTAGGAGAAGTGTGGTGAGCTTTCTGAATGCTGAAGTGGGTGTCAGGGTCTCGCCCTTCCTGCAGATGAAGGTTGAAGGCTTTAGGAAGACCAGGCAGACTTACTTAGTGCCATGTACTTTCCTCCTAACTCCTGTAGATAGAAGCTGGGTGGGGTTGGTTAGGAATCTGCTTATCATTCTATCTGACTTGATTCCTTCACTACTGGGATCTGCTGTAGATTACTCAGTCATATTAGGTGGGTTTTACTCCTTAGTACTGCATCTGCCTTGTTCTCACACGACAATATTTGACACAAGTATAGTCTGCTTGCTCCTACTTTAACATCTCTTAGATTTCTCCATGCACCTGTAGGCCAGTGTCATCCTGTCAGCTTACGTGTGTCATAGATGCCACGAAGAGATCTTTTTCCATTAAATCTGTTACTTATTTGTGCCTAAGCTGGGTACTTTGTACTAGTGAATGTGTTCTTCCCCTTTCTAGTATGTAGATACTAAATCCTGTAGAATTGCTTCTTTTATTTCTGGTCCCTCTTAGTTCATTCAGGTTTTTACTCACATTATTACAAAGCCTCCATTCTCGTTCTCTCATTCTTTCTGTTCCAAAGCTCTTATTCTAATCTTACTGCATTATATTTAGTTCATTGAGAAGAACAAACTGTTTAGTTCCTATCAGTGAGTGTTACAGTTATGTAGTGAATATATGAATATTTCTCAGCTGTTTATTCTTTAATTTATATGTCTGTGTGAGGGAGTCAGAAGCCCTGGAACTGGAGTTACAGACAGGTGTGAGCTGCCATGTGGGTGCTGGGGACTGAACCCGGGTCGTCTGGAAGAACAGCCAGTGCTCCTAACCACTGGGCCATCTCTCCAGCCCCCAAATGACCACTCTTAAAAAGAGAAAATAAATAAACAACAACAACCAAAAAAGCTACAGATCAATATATAAAATGATAATAACTTGAGTAGAAGCTTTTATTCTGTTTGTTTTGGGTAATGAAGTTACCAGTTCATTTTCTCGTGTGTGTGTGTTGTTTGAAAAGCAGTAACCTTTTTTTCCTTCCAATACTTTTTACCTATGAAAATACTTTAAATTCTTTCTTGATTCACTAGTGCAGTCATTGGGTTGCCCTTTCATTTGCTGCTTTTGTTGCTATGGCTTTAGATATAAACCTTTTTTCTGTTTTTGTAGTAAATGATATGTAATGGTGTTAGTCAAATGTTCATCTTTCCATCCCTCAGGTGGGGATTTAACGTTTCCTTTTTTTGATGTTTTATTGAAGGTTCGACTTGTTGACGCAGGCTTTGTTTGGACTGAGCCCCATTCCAAGAGGCTTAAAGTTAAATTGACAATTCAGAAAGAGGTGAGGTGTTCTTGTTCTTTTTTGGTTTTTCAAGACAGGGTTTCTCTGTGTTGTTTTGGAGACTGTCCTGGAACTCACTCCGTAGACCAGGCTGACCTTGAACTCACAGAGATCCACCTGCCCCTGCCTCCAGAGTGCTGGGATTAAAGGCGTGCACCAACGCCTGTCTTTTTTTTCTAAACATGGTTAAAATACTAGGAGTGGGAATGAGAGACTAGTGTTAAATTATTTTATAGACTAAATGACTTAAAAGGTAGAGTATAGTTTAAATCTTATTCTTTTGTTATTTTTTAATCATCTGACATATGATCTCTTTGATCATGACTGTGGTCACTAGTAGCTACCATTACTCAAAATTAGTGGGTTCAGTAGTCTCTTTAAAGGTTTTTTTGTTTTAAGATAGGCTCTCACTAGAAAGTACTGAGTGTAACAGGCTGGCCTGGAACTCACAGAGATCTCCCGAGTTTGCCTCCGGTCCTGGCATTAAAGGTGTGTGCACCACCACGCCCAGCTCTCAGTTTCTCCCCAGTCACAGGTTTGTGCCTGGAATTCCAGGGCTGTTGGTCTAAGGTCTTTTTTTGGTTTATATAAGAAGTTCTACACTTTGACACTCTAAAACAAGCGGCAGAACTGGAAAGATGGCTCAGGTGTCGAGAACACTTCTGCTCTTCCAGAAGACCCGAGTTCAGTTCCTGGCACCCACATTGGGCACTTTCAACCACTTGTAATTCCAGTAGTAGGGGATCCAACACTCATTTCTGGCTCCCCTGCATTCACGCACATTCATACACAGTTAAGAAAACTTTTTCAAAAGCAAAAGTAATTTAAAAAAAGATTACAGTTAAAACATTACCAAAGACAGTGATTCTCAAACTTGGCTCAGTAGCTGAATCAGAATCTCTGGATATATTTATTTATTTGTTTATTATTTTCCTGAAGCACTGGAGATCAAGCCTAAGTTCTCAAGTGTGCAGGTGAGCTCTCTATTATTAAGCTTATGTGTACCCCTAGACTGTATTTAAAAAGCTTCCCAGGAGATGTTTGATTGTTCCTGGAGAATGCCCGTTTTAAATTTCTAAAAGTGAATTCTTTGTGTGTCACACACACATAGGTATACATGCATGCATACACAAGTGTATATAACTTTACATTTTTTTTAGATTGAGTTCTCAAACTCAGTATAGCCATGGATGACCTTGAACTTTTGCTATCCTGCTTCTACTTCCCAAGCCTGGGATTATAGGTGTGTGCCAGGACGCCTGGCTTTATGTGGCAGTGGGAGTCAAAGCAAGGCTTTAAGTGGGACAGACAAGCAGTCTCCCAATCAAGCCACATCTCTACCCCCATAAAAGATCATGTTCACCACCACTTTTGCTAGAGGTAAACTTAAAATGGTAATGTAATCTTTAGAATTCTTAAAACAGTATAATTTACCAGTGGGGTAAGTAGCTCAGGGACAGAGTACTTGGTGAGCATGAGTGAGGTCCCATACTCAATCCTTGGTTGTGCCCTCCCTTCTTCCAAACAGGTAGCATAACTTAGCTTTAGAATTTTAACTTTAACAGGTGTCCTTTATGCATTATAGAGAGAAGTTTTAAGTTACTTAGCAACTGTGCTAATGAACATTATCTGTTGAACAGAACAGTGCGTGAAGGAGTGCTATTGCTTTGCTCTCCAGGTGATGAATGGTGCTATCCTGCAGCAGGTGTTTGTGGTGGACTATGTTGTTCAGTCCCAGATGTGTGGAGATTGCCATAGAGTGGAAGCTAAGGATTTCTGGAAGGCTGTGATTCAAGTCAGGCAGAAGGTACTGAGAACAGTGCATCTTCATCTTGAACTTTTCACTGTCCATTATTAATAGCTGATCAAATCGTCTCTGTTCCCTTTCCAAGTCCTTTGTGCATGACCAGAATCTCCTGGAACATTCAGCTTTGGAAATACTTCACTATTTTATGTTCATTTTTAAAGATGTTTTTGTTTGAAAAAATGTGCTATATCTGTAGATAGATGATATATGTGTACTCTGTATAAATGTTCTTTTGGCATGTGATTTATTGATTGTATAATGCATGGATATTTAGACTCTGCACAAGAAAACATTCTACTATCTGGAACAGTTGATTCTGAAATATGGAATGCATCAGAATACGCTGCGTATCAAAGAGATTCATGGTGAGTTCAAATTTAAAAGGATTTGAAACAATATCAGAATTTTCTTTCAGTTGTCCTAAATAATCTTATCTTTCTCAAAGTTGAAACAGTTGTAGAAATTCTTTAAATAATGCATGTGCATATATGTGCATGTGTAAAAAGAAAGCAAACTTAATTTTCTGTCTTCATTGTCCAGTATGGTAATGACTGTCCACATATGGCTAGTATTTGAAATGTGGCTACTGTAATTAAGGAATTGAATTTTGTTCTGTTGGCTGATACAGAACATATGTTATTAGTGACTACTCTGGATAGCACAGATCTAGAACCTTGTTTTCAGTAGTGATGTCCCTCTGCCCCCGTTCATTTATTAAGCCTTCAGTTTACAATAGATGTCATTCTTCGTTCTTGGAATATAATGATACATTAATATTAACTATTGCCCTCTAATGCTGCTCATCTTAAAGAGTGAGTCAGTGACTGCATTAACGCACTCACTGTAAAGTGCAGCAATAGGAAACTCATCAGAAGCCTGTTTCAATCGGAAAGATTGCTCTGGTCTTTTGCACTTGTTTTTCTCTGCAATTTTGTGCTGAGAAGTATTTGTAGTGAACAGAATTCCGTATAAGTGAAGTAAATAACAAGGGATGAATAAATAGTGAAATGTCTGAATAGTTTCAAAACTTAAAAGATTTTGTAGTAGTTTGTAAGTTCTGCCTTGGAGTTTACTGGTTTTTGTTTGGCATGGTTTCTTTGATGATGGTAGGGATTGGCATCTGGGTTTTAAGTGACTGTCCCTGAGTGACAGTGCAGGGCCATAGCATTCACTATGTAGTATACATGTATATATTTGATGGAGATGCCATAGTTCTGGAACTAATAATTTAGAATATAAATATTTTAAAGCAAACACAAGACTTCTGCTAGTAATAGGTTTTGGTTGGTGCTTGTTATTAAGTTAGACAAGAGTTGTTTTCCTAAGTCACTTTGTAACATGCAGATTTACTGGTGGTGACTGTTGTTGAAGAAATGACATTAATTCCTTAAATGAGAAAACAGTATCAGTTTTGTGAAAACTTAAATCTGTATCTCTAGGTTGAGCTTATTACTGGTAGGCATAGAGGATCCTGAGACAGTGATACCTTGTCTTTGTTAGGGTTTCTATTGTTGTGAAGAGACACTATGACCACGGCAACTCTTAAAAAAAAGAAAAAAGAAAGAAAGGAAGAAAGAAAGAAAGAAAAGAGAGAGAGAAAGAAAAAGAAAAAGCATTTAATTGGGGCTAGCTTACAGTTCAGAGGTTTAATCCATTGTTATGGTGGAAGCATGATGGCTTGCAGGCAGACAGGGTGCTGGAGAGGTAGCTGGGGTTTCTGTATCTGGATTGGCAGGCCTGAGGAAGAGAATGACACTTGGCCTGGCTTGAGCATCTGAAATCTCAAAGACCTCTCCCAGTGATACACTTCTTAGAACAAGGCACACCTCCTAGTAGTGCCACTCCCTGTGAGCCTGTGGGGGCCATTTTCATCCACACCACCACATGCGTGCATAAGGTTCCTTTATTGGCTAATCCCTAGGTAGACATGTGCTGAGTACTGCCGGGTAAAGAAACTCAAAGCTGGGTGTGGTGTTGCATGCCCGTTACTCAGTGTTTGGGAGTTGGAGCTGGAGGAGCCTGAGCAGCATGAGAGTCTGTTTTGTTAGTTTTGTTTTGTTTTTAAGTTCTATGAGGCAAGGAACACATGCATATTCTAACTAAGGACTATGGTAGAAATGATCCCCACAGAACATTTTTTGGCAAAAGTCTGGATGCATTTTTAAAATTACTGCCAAACCCCCAATGCCGCAGGTTTAACAGCCTTTCTTTCGCTAGTCTTTTCTCAGGACTCATTTTTGACTTAAATGACTGTTCTACTTAGCTTGTGTATTAGTGACTTAAATGTAATTGGAGCTGGAGAGATAGATGACGACTCAGCAGGTAAGAGAGCTGGTTGCTCTTTAGATGACTGGACCTTGGTTCCAAGCACAGACTTTCAGTGGTTCAGAATCCACCTGCAAGCCAGCCCCGGGAAGTCTAATGCCGCCTTTGCCCTACAGGCACCTTGCCCTCGTGTGCGCACACACGCATACGCACACACACACACACACACACACACACACACACACGAGACAAAGTGTGTATTTAAAAACAATTTTAAGAATTAAGGACTCCTCCCCCACTTTACCTTATCCATCCATCTGTCTGTCATCTCTAGAGACAGTTTGTATTTCCTTAAAACAAAATATACTCTGTAAGTCAATAGTTGCTCTATGACTGATACACCTTCAGCACATTTGGAAGACTTTCAGCAACAGTGCATATAGCTCCATTGAATTATTTTCATTGTTGTCTGATAGTCTTTAGTTAGTGGATATATAAATTGATTAGTGGACTTACAGTTATTTTTTGCTGTTGAAAACAAGACTGAATAATCTTATGTTCGTCTTTGTGCATATATAGTGCTTTTTCTTGGGAATTGATTTAAAGAATTGAAATTACTGGACAAGAGAACCCAAATATGTGGTGACATATTGTTTATGATCTAATGAAGCCACTGAAGATCAGAATGCAAACCAGCCACACTAGTCAACCATAGAAGCCGGAGGTGGTGGCACACACCTTTAATCCCAGGACTCGAGAGACAGAGGCAGATGGATCTCTGTGAGTTGAAGGTTACCCAGGGCTACATGAGAGTTATATAAACAGAGCACATGCCTTTAATCCCAGCACTAGAGAGGTATATAAGAAAGGAGCAGGGCATTCAGTGTTCAGTCTTCTGGAAATTAGTCTCCCTCCAGCCACATTGAGGTCAGGATCCCTCCCCAGCCTTGATAGAGGTAAGAGCTCTCTGGTTGCTTTGCTTTTCTGATCTTCAACTTGAACCCCAGTATCCATCTCTGGGTTTATATTATTCGTGCTACAAAATATAAGTTTTGATGTCCCGCAGTAGTGCTAGTATACTTTCCCAGCATTAGTAAGCTTTCATTTTTTTCCAGACACTTGCTGGTAATGATTAAGAACTATATTGTCCTTTCTAAATTTTGGACATGATAATGGCAATTATTTTTATCTGTACTTCTTGAGTGATGATGAGGGATAACGGTTTTCTTATGCATGTTAACCATTTGTTTCTGATGTGAGTCATCTGTTGTTAGTTATCCTCCACGCATGAATCTGTGTTGTCTAGTTTTGTATGTGTTTTTAGGATGTTTAGTACCTTCTAGTGCTAAGAATAATATTTGTTGAAGCTGCATCTTCTTTTCCTTTTCTCATGCTTTTTAAATTGTCAAAAATGTTCATATATTACAACTCCTCTCAGATACTGCCTTCCAATTTCATGCTCTTTCTCTTTCAGAAAACAAAAACAAAAAACAAAAATCCAACAACTCACCAAACCATAAACAGCAGAGTAGTTTGTGTTGAGTGATAGGACCCCTGTAACCCAGGCTGTTCCTGGACTCTCAGTGTTTCTGCCTCATTCTTAGTACTGGTATTCTGTGTGTGAGCAGCTGTTGAGGTTTCTAATTGATACATGTGCTGGTGTGTACGTACGTACGTACATACGTACATACATACATGTGCTTCTGAACTTTTTGTCCAGTTTTGCTATCAGTTACATTAGTATTGAAGAAGGTTACAAAGTTTGCCTTCATTTTCTTCAGTGTTCATTACCTCTATGCTTTTGAAGAGCTTGTCCATTAAACCATTTAGTGGGGTATCTCCTGGGCATAAGTAATTTCATTTCCCTTTAAGACATTGATCTATTTCAGCTAGTTCTCCTCGAGAATAATTTTCATTGCATTATTTATGTATTTAATTTTGTTTGTTGTGGCATATGCCATTCCATGTGTGGAAGTTAAGGACATCTATCATCTTTAAGTCATCTCATGAGTTCTGTCTCTGAGTCTGTATTTAAAAACAGAAGTGCCGAGTTACATGGAAAATTTATGTTGGTGCTTCTGTTTGTAAAATGGCCACAGTCTATGTGACTGTGGTCTTTACGTTCCTGACAGGAGTGTTGAAAGGTTCCCGATTCCCTTTCAGTTGCTGCCCATCTTGGTAGAGGGAAGTCTGTAGTGGTTCTTATTATGGCTACAATTCCCATTTCACTAAGGACTAGTGATATGAAGCATGTTCTACATAGAAATTTCTTACTGCCTGTATGATTTGTGTGTTTTCTTCAGGACTATAGCCTGTCTCTTCCTTTTCTTAATGTTATCCTTTCTATTGCAAACATTAAATTTTTTTCTCCATTATATTTTTTATTTAAATTAGAAACATGAATGCTTCACATGTCAATCCCAGCTCCCTCTCCCACCCCTCCTCCTTTGTCCCTCCACCAACCTCTCTAGCCCCCACCCAATCCCCACATCACTCCCCAGGGAGGGTGAGGCCCTCCATGCGGGATCTCGAGAGTCTGTCACTTCATCTGGGGCAGTTCTTAGGCCTCCCCCATGTGTCCAGGCTGAGAGAGCATCCCTCCATGTGGAATGGGCTCCCAAAGTTCATTCGTACACCATGGTAAACACTGATCTACTACCCAAGCCCCCAGATATTGCTGAGGCCTCCTCACTGACAACATTCAGGGGGTCTGGATCAGTCCCATGCTGGCCTCTCAGCCATCAGTCTGGGGTCCAAGAGTTCCCCATGTCAGGTCAGCTGTCTCTGTGGGTTTCACCAGCACAGTCTTGAACCCTATGCTCATCAGTTCTCCCTCTCTGTCACTGGGTTGCAGGAGTTCAGTTCAGTTGCAAACATTTTTTTGACTTTAAAAATTTATATGTATGAATGTTCTGCCTGCATGTATATAAGTGCACTATATATGTGCAGTGCCCATGGAGACCAGAAGAAGCCAGTAGACAGCCCTCTCCCTGAATTGGAGTTACAGAGCGTTGTGAGCTGCATGTTGGTGCTAGAACCAACCCAGGTCCTCTAAAAGAGCCTCTTAACTGCTTAGACATCTCTCCAGCCTCCTTTTAAAGTTTGATGACGTCCAGCAGTTGGGTGACAAAAGTTTTCTTGGGAGGGTTGCAACACACACGTCTACTTAGCCCAGATAGGGATCCACTACAGACCAAACGTCTGGACACCGCTAAAGTCCAACTTGATGAACCATGTACTTGATTGAGGTTATTTTCAGGAATATGTATGAGGGGTTACTTACGGGAGCAGCAATGACTCAAAGATAGCTGTATCACCAATGCCCACCTCAGCCAGAATGGGTGTTAGCTCACAAAGCTGGGAACCAGGAACATACTCCACACCGCCTGCAGGCACCTCAACAGGTTGAAGAGTGTCTTTCTAAAGTGATTCACTTGATCTAAACCTCTTCCAGGCAGCTGGTCTGACCTGAGTCTCGTTTGCAGCTTAGCTCTGCTTACTGTGGCAAGCAGGGCTCTAGTGAATCTGGGTAGTTTAGGGGCTTCGTGAAGCTATTTTGAGTTTACCTTCTGCTGCCTAAGTGTCCTTGCAGGATGGAATGTTTCAATTTCTAGGAAACTGTATATAGTTCCATCTGATCAATTCTTTTTTTCATTTATCAGCTATACATTTCATATGCTTGAGAACTGTTAGTTTAATTAAGGTCAGAAAGCATACCCTATTTTTTATATACTTTATAATTTTAATTCATAGGTCATAACTCTTTCATTGGTACGAAGTGCCTAAGTTTATCTTTTATCTGTTAAGTTCTTTTGATTAAATATAATAGTCTATTTCTGCAGTCTCAAATTTACATGAACTTACAATTTTATGCTTAGTCCCATACTGTTCTTAATTTCAGGTAAGTCTTGTGAACTTGCTCATTTCCCTCAATATTGTCATGGCTGTTATGGGTAAATTTAATTCTTGTTTAGGTATCTCGAATATTTCTTAGCAGTAGATTTGCTTTTGACTTTTCCTTTTTTGATAGTGTTAAGTGATACTGCACTGGCATAGATAATGTTGTCTAGTGACTGCTTCGTTCAGTCTTGGTATATACTTTTTTTCGTGTGTGTTAACTAGGTGCACTCTTGTCATCATCTTGGTAGATTTTTCTATTTATTACATAAAATATTCTTTTACTTTTCTCTCTTGGCCTTGAATTTTGTTTTCATTTGTTAACTTTTATCAGATTTTTGTCTGCCTTTTTGCCAAACAGGTCTTAATTGATATCCCCAATCTGGCTATAATATATTTTGCCTATGGGTTTAATTTGTGATCATGTTAGAGGAAAACCTAGTTTTGTAGAACCATTTTTATTATTTTTTTTAGATGGTCTGGATTTCTACTATTCTTCAAAACAACATGCTCAGAAGATGGTGGAGTTTCTTCAGGGTACGGTTCCCTGTAGGTATGTTGTGAACCTAGATGTGTAAGTCCGTGGGAATAGGACATACATGTGTCACATCTGTTCTTCAGGCTTAGATAACATAATTTGTTAAAATTAAATTTTAGTATGGCTATTTAAACAGCCATGAAACATTGAGTTAGCCAGTGAGTGCTGAAGAATTTTTCATAGCTGGACCTAACCCATAATAATACACACTGTAATGCTGACCCATAGACGATGGATAGAAGAACTAGGACTTCAGGTGGGAGAGATTTGTATAAGCGGAGTTGGTATTGAAAGCTGAGGTTAGCAGGAACAAAGACCTGGGAGGCACATTAGTGGGACTTAGAGTATAGTCATTCTGATGAAGGTTTGAAATATAAGTGGATAAAATTAGGCTTTGCCCTATGTTCTAGTTTTGAGTCTGTGGCTATGATAAAGCACCCTGACAGAAAGCAGCTTAGGAGAAAGGGTTTATTAGACTTACAGTTGTTACAGTTTATCATGGTGGATAAGTCAAGTCAGTGAGTCACACCACATCCAAAAGCAGAGAGAAACGGATGTGGACATCCCTGCCTGCCCACTGGCTTGCTTGTTCTTGGCTAGATTTCTCTATTCAATTCCCCCTGCCCAGGGCAGTGGTTCTCAACCTTCCCTATGCTGTGACCCCTTAATACAGTTCCTCGTGTTGGGATGACCCCAAATGTCATTGCTACTTCATAACTGTTTTGCTGTTATGAATTGTAATGTAAATATCTGATATATAGGACCATAGACTGAGAACTGCTGGATTAGGGAATGTGCTACGGTGTGGCTGGCTCTTCACACCAATTTACGTAATTAAGACAGTCCCCTAGAAATGTTCATAAGCCAACCCAGGCCTCTCAGTACTAAGACAGTCTTCTCAGGTGGTTCTGGGTTATGTTAGGGTGGCATTAAAGCTAACCACACCATCAGGAGGCTGTTTGAAGACAGCAGGCTTTGATTTGATGAAAGTTGATGTCCCCAGCTTTGTACAAGAAAGGACCTGTCCCTTTCATTAATACTAATTTTTTTCTTAACAGATGCAAAGCATCACAAAGATTGATCTCCCAAGATATTCATAGTAACACATACAATTACAAGAGCACTTTTTCTGTGGAAATTGTTCCAATATGCAAGGTACCTCTGTTCATATAATTCATGTCTGTAAGAGAATAGTAATTAATTGGCTTTATATAATTTATTGCTCCTGGTTTCCTATTGGCTAAAATTAAGAATGACTTCCTTCAATGATTTCTGACATGCTCAGCTTTGTTAAAAAGGTTTAAAATATGTGTTTATAACTGTGAGTTAGAATGTTCTTCATTTAGGAGTACTGTGAGGAAAAGATTGGCTAGGGTGATGCATGGCTTGATAACTTGAGTTGAGTCTCTGGCACTCAAGTAAAGGTAGGAGAGACCCAGTCCAATGTAGTTGTCCTCTGATCCCAACATGTACACCTGCATGAACATGTGTGTACACATACACACATACAAATAATGAAATTATAACAAATTGATTGCAAAAGGTTGTAATCCACTTTAATTAAAAATAAATTTCATGTAACTTTCATGTATAAGAAATGGTAGTTAAAAAGATCAGTGAGCCGCTTTAGAATATGTGTGGGTAAGAGTTTTGTACATGCACATGTGAGTGCATGTTCACATAGATGTGTACATATGGAGGGCAGAAGTCAGCTTTAGGTGTCTTCATCAAAGGCTGTCCGTTTATTTTTTGAGGTAGTTTCTCACTGTACCTGTAGTCAACTGATTAGGCTAGATTAGCTGGCTAATGAGTCCCTGGAGTTCGCCTGTCTCTGCTTCCCTACTTCAGACTTGCAAGCTTTTTTACCTGAGTGCTGAGAATCTATACTCAGCTTGTGCTGTCTTTTAGCCTGGCCAACAGGATTTTGACTACAGTATTAATGGAAATGAGATCCTAGAATCATCTTTGCTTGTAACATAATTTCAATAAAACATACATTATCATTTCATTTGAATGTACTAAGATAAAACTGTTTTGAAAAACAAATGAGTAAATTCCAGCAACTAGCTGGATGTTGTGGCACATGCCTTTAATCCTTGCATTTGTGAGGCAAAGGCAGGCAGAGCTACATAGTCTCAAAATAATCCAAAAAATTTCAGCAAATAGTAAAAATAGTTGTACTGGGGCTGTAGCTCAGTTGATAGAGTGTTTGCCTAGGTGGTTGAAGCCATGAATTCAGTCTTTATAACCATTTAAGGTCAGTTCTAGCACTGGGTAGGTAGAGGGAAGAGGATCAGAAGTTAAAGCTACAAATAAAGTTTCAGGCAAGCCTGGCTACATGATACTCTCTCAAACAAGAAAGGAAAGGTTCTACTAATGAAACTCTTCACCATGTAGAAATTTGTGTTTATATTAAATCACTACAAATTATCACTATTATAATTTATAGTGGCTGGTCTACATTAAGCTGATATCTATATGCTTCGTCATTTTTCACTTAGATTTATGTCTTACTAATCGAAGTACGGTGTACAATATTAAGGATGATGATATTGAAGCTTAGAAAGTTTAGGTGGATGACTTATGTAACAACAAAGTGATGAAGCTACCCTTTATACCTAGGTCTGTGACTAGAGCTTTTGAAGCTGTTAACACTGAATTACATAGCACTATAGTACCAGGGTTGAAATGACAGCCTAAGACATGGTTGGCAGGCTTCCTCTAACAATAGCTCTGTTAGTAGATGCTTTGTGCTTTCAGTCCGTCTCTCTAGTAGAACTGTTCAACTCCACTCTTGACAAGGGTAGCCATGGATGCTAACATGAAGACAAGTGACCATAGCTATGCTCTAGCTAAAAGTAGTTATCTTGAGTACCATTTTTTGCCAGTCCTCATGAAAAACAGCAAAAGCCGTGAGTAATTTAAATTTAGGTATGATGGCATAATTAGGCCTGATGTATTAAATAGAATAAAGGGCTGCAGTTGTCTTGTGGCATCTAAAGGTAATTAGGATTCGCTGTAGATACCAAGCTCCAGAGATGTACAAATCCCTCATAAAATTGTCTAGTATATGTTACTCATTTATAGATTACTTAAACCTAATATGGTATGTGTGCTATGTAAATGGTTATTAATTAATTAAGCTTTATTTTTAGGGAATGAAAACAAAAAGATTCTACCTGTCCAGTATAAATACAGTGATTAAAAAAATATTTCTGATCCACAGTTGGATGAGCTAGAGGGTACGGAACACATGGGCATAGAGGGCTGATTATGTGTTTAATGTCTTTGGGAGCTCCTGAGTTCAAAACCAAAAGTTGGAATAGGTGTTAATGAATAGTGTCCACCTCACTGGGAAAGCCTGTGAATGTGCTCAGCTACAACTTTATGTATGACCCACATTCTTTTTTTAATTTTAGTTTTATTTTTTATTTTATTTGGTTGTTTATTTTTTGAGATAAGGTCTTAATCTTAAATCCTGGATGGACTGGAACTCAGAGAGTCTCTGCCTATGCTCCCAAGTGTGGGATTAGAGGTGAACACCACTATGCTCAGCCATTTTATCTTTTAATAAAGTTAAGAAATGAATGAGTAACATTGTTGGTTAATATAGTATCTTCCATTGTACATGTAGATGTGACTTTTTCAGTCATTCAGTCTTTAATTGCATGCTCAACGATTTAGCTATTTTAGAGAAATGTATTTTCCCGGCCGGGAATTGGTGGCGCACACCTTTAATCCCAGCACTTGGGAGGCAGAGGCAGGCAATCTCTGTGAGTTCGAGACCAGCCTGGTCTACCAGAGCTAGTTCCAGAACAGGCTCCAAAGCCACAGAGAAACCCTGTCTTGAAAAACCGGGAAAAAAAAAAAGAAGAAGAATGTATTTTCCCATTGAAATTTGGTTTAATGGAGATCAAAAGAAGTCAGTCACAAGGAGATTTAGGAAGTTACTCTAGTCTTGATGTTATACTTTTATTAATGTATAAATTAACATATAGAATGACAAGCAAGCATGTTACAATCAAATTGAAATGAGTTTGACATGGATGGGAAGGCTGATTATAAAGAAGATTCTTTTTTTTTTTTATTGGTCAATTTCTTTTTTTTTTCTATAGCCATTTTTTTTATTCTTTTTTTTAAATTTAGATAAGAAACAAGGTTGCTTCACAAGTCAGTTCCAGGCCCCTCTCCCTTTCCCTCCCCTCCTCCCGTGTCCTCCCCCCATCCCCCCCCCCCCCGTTATCCCCTCATTCCCCCAGGGAGGGTGAGGCCCTCCATGGGGGTGTCCATAGTCTGTCATTTCATATAGGGCAGGGCCTAGACCCTTCCCCAAGAGTTCAGGGTGAGAGTGCACCTCACATTGTTCTATGGGAGTCCAAAGTCCGTGTGTATACTTGGGATGGGTACTGATCTGCTGCCCAGGGCTCAATAGATTCCCTAGGCCTCCTCACTGACACCCAGATTCAGGGGGTCTTGATCAGTCCCATGCTGGATTCCCAGGCCGATGCCTGGGATTCAAGAGTTAACCTTTGTCTGGTCAGCTGTTTCTGGGGGTTAAACCAGCCCAGTCTTAATCCCTTTGATCATCAGTCCTCCCTCTCTGATACTGGCTTTCTTGATTGAGTTCAGCTCAGTACTTAACCAGCCACTAAATGTAGTTTCTGTTTCCCAGACTCTCTGGCCATAGGATTGTAGGCTGGCACTCCCCAGATCTATGTCTAAAATCCATATATGAGAGAGTACATGCCATGTTTCTCTTTTTGTGACTGGGTTACCTCACTCAGGATGGTTTCTTCTAGTGTCATCCATTTGCCTGTGAATCTCATGATTCCATTATTTTTTTCTGCTGAATAGTATTCCATTGTGTAGATGTACCACATTTTCTCTATCCACTCTTCGGGTGAGGGACATCTAGGCTGCTTCCAAGTTCTGGCTATTACAAATAAAGCTGCTATGAACATAGTGGAACAGACATCTTTGTTGCATGAATGGGTATCTTTTGGATATATGCCTAAGAGTGGAGTTGCTGGGTCTTGTGGTAGGTTTATTCCCATTTTTCTGAGGAATCTCCATACTGCTTTCCAAAGTGGCTGAATATAAAGAAGATTCTTAAAGGACATTTCAGTTAAGACAGATGGGCCCATTTTAGGAATGTGCAGAGTGTTTCAGTTTTTCTAAGGTGGGACTCTGCTATCTGCAGGTGCTTTGTTGGTCCAAGACTGAAGCATAATGTTGTGGAGCCAGGCATGGTAGCATCCTATAGGCTGAATCATGAGGCTTGATAATTTAGACCAGCCCATACACACATTCAGACAGACAATTTTGCCAGGATTATTAATGAGTGTTAAAGACTGCTAACCTAGAATTTGCCTTGTCACTTCTTTTTGCCTAGGATAATGTTGTCTGCCTGTCACCAAAATTGGCACAGAGTCTTGGAAATATGAACCAGATATGTATTTGTATTCGAGTAACTAGTGCCATCCATCTCATAGACCCAAATACCCTACAAGGTAAGCTTTGGAACTAGATTTAGCAGTTTTATTCTCTATTAGTAAACAGTAATCTCTCATGGTCGTTAGAGTGGTTATTCCCCACCCTCATTTTGTTTTTTTTTGAGACAGGGTCTCCTACTCTACATGTAGTCAAGGGTGACTTTCAGTCCCTGACCCTCTTCCCTCTTCAGAGCTCCCCTGTCCTGGGATCACAGAAGTGTGCTTTGACACTGTTATATGCCATAGGAGATTGAACGCAAGGCCTGATGGAGTCTAGGCAAGCACTTTTCAAGTGAGCTACAGCCCCAGTCACTAATGTCATTCTTGATAATAGTACTTTGGAAGACTAATACTTTAGTATTTAAAAACTTTTTGTTACTCTTTCTTTTTTAAAGAAACAATTCTGTGAACTTTTAGGTATTTCAGTTTTATTCCACTCATTTTTCTTAAAACTTTCTGCTTTGTATAGTTTTGGTGACTAAGTCTTTCGCCAAATGTGCTCATGTGTGAAGAGTGAACCTAGAACCCTGTGTGCTGCAAAACTATATGTCTAGCCTGTTTTTAACAAATACTTTAAATTTTGGGATATTTGAGCTGTGATCCAATAGAACACCTCGTTTAAGAATTTTAACTTTTCATCATTACTATGGGTCATTTTTAGTGTGTTTTTATACAAATCATTTTTTTTATAAATCATTTTTTTAAAGAGGGAAGACTGCATAGTGATAGAAGTCTTTATTTGTCTTCTCAGTTTCCCATCTTAAAGTTTCTTTTAAGTTTCCTGTTATTTTTATACTTTTCATAAACTCATTGATTATATTATTATCAACTAAGGTCTGTTTGCAGTAATAGGGTAGGCGGGCATTCTTACCTGTCAGATAAAAGTAGGCTTTTTGGCTTTTAACTTAAGCAGCTATGATAACCAGTAGGTTTCTGCAGTAAAATGTCAGCACATGAAATCACCATAAAACTGATTGAATTTGTTGTGTGGCATTCTGCTTACAATACCTAAGTAAGATGTAAATATTTTTGATGGCCAGTATTTCCCCTTGTGCCATAGGATGTTTGGGGCTCATGTGTGGAAATAAGTGATGACTTAAAGTGGCTTGACTTCTGCTCCTGTTGGTCGGGTACTTCCTGCTTGTTCCATACATCTTTCCGGTTGACACCTTTGATGACTCAACACTTTGTCGGTTATCTTGTTTTTATGCCTTTTCTTAGTTGCAGATATTGATGGAAACACATTCTGGAGTCATCCTTTCAATAGTTTATGCCATCCTAAACAGCTCGAAGAGTTTATTGTGATGGAATGCAGCATAGTCAGAGATCTGAAACGAAGTGCGGGGGCTGGAGTCATATCAAAAAAGGTAAGCGGTATCTGTCCATTCTTCCTCGTTGAAAAACATTGGTTTTCAGTTGTTGGTAGTAATAAAATGTGGAGTCCAGATAAAGGAAAACACCATGAGGTTAGCCACGAGGGCATCTCTCAACAGTAAAGGTGAAGTCTTAAGACCTGAGTTGGATCCCTGGCATCCACACTACAAAGTTTTCCCTGACCTCCAGACGCGCTGTGGCGTGTGCCAGGACCCCCATCGTACGCACGCACACGCCTTCTCTCTCTATATATATATATTTAAAATATATATTAATATTATATTTAATCATTTTCCCCTTTATTCTGGTGGAAGAGAACCAAGTGGACAGTTCAGTTTCAAAATCATTGCTGTATGAAGTCATCCGTACAGTTTTCTACCGCATAGGGATCTTTGAGTCAGATCAGCTCATGACTATGAGAACTACATTTTCTCTGCATTCAGACCCCTTCCTGTGTCTCACAAGTGTCTGGGGTATGCTCAGACTGGTGTCTAGGTGGGGAGCACACACTAAGTTATGTGAATACTGTAATTCTTAAATCCTCCTCAGTGACAATGCCTTCTTGTTTTGTTATGAGAGCAGCTTCTTAAACATACCTTAGAGAATGTGACCTTCTGGATCTCTATACTGTCTGCTTACCATGCCATTTAACTTGATTTTATTGTCTTTTCTTTAGATTAGAAGAACACCCACATTTTGGCAAACAAATATTCTTATGAAAACACTTAAGAGATGATATCTTTTTAAAATTATATGGGGGGAAGCTGTGCATGTGCACATGTAGAAGTCAGAGGCTTACTTGTAGAGTTGCATCTGAGAATGAAACTCAGATCATTAGATTTGGTGGCAATCATCTCTATCCACTGAGCTGTCTCTGCAGCCTGGTGTGGTGTGGTGTTTTCAGGGTTAGTGTGCTGTTGTAATTTGTAGGTTTGTCTGAGCTCTTGGTTGCTTTAAGCCTGAGGTCTTCAGGCATTTGCTTGGACTGTCTGCTTGCTTTAAGATCTTTTACCCTTCCAGTTACTTTGTGCGCACTCTCGGTTAACGCCTCCGTGAAGACATTCATTCCCTTTGAATGTGGCTGCATGTGTGTGTTTTCAGGGAGTGACATTAATGTTTGATACAAGTTTTAGATTGTTTTTATGGTTTCCTTTGAAGTCATTTTATGTATTCCTGACTTGGTAATTTGTTAGTTTTGATTGTTTTAGAATTCTGGAATGTAGAAGGCAGTTCTAAATGTATATTAAATGAGAAAAAAGTCAGTATCATATTTAATTGTTTTATGAAATGATTCTTGAATTGTTTTGTTACTGAATCTGTTTTCTGTTCTGTTAAGCACACTCTTGGAGAAGTCTGGATCCAGAAGACATCTGAAATGAATACAGATAAACAGTATTTTTGTCGAACTCACTTGGGACATCTTTTAAATCCTGGAGACCTTGTGCTGGGGTTTGTTTTATTTTAACTTGCCCGATAGCATTACAAGTTTTCTTCAGGAGCCAATAAATATTTAAATACTAAACTTGTTAATTTCAAAAAAGATTTAAGAGTTCTTAAGAGCCTAATAGCTTATTTTATTATTGATAACTATAAAACCATGTATTGGACAGAAGCCAATAACTTCCATTTGGGCCATTATCTGAGTCATTTATTCAAAGATTTTGGTAATTACACACTGAATTTATATAGTTTGATGAATATTTATAGCTTTTTAGTGGTAGTGGATTGCTTAATGGCTGTGAAAATACTTCACGTTTTGGAAATAGCTGGGGCCAAAGAGGTGGCTTAGAGGTTGTGTGTACTGTTCTTGCAGAGGACCCAAGTTCAGTTCCCAGTCATATCAGGAAGGTCACAACTATTAGTAGCCCCAGCCTTAAGGGACCTGACACTTCTGACTTCTAGGCACTTGTGTGCATATAGTGTACATAAATGTATGCAGGCACATACATATACACATAATTAATAAATTAAAAAAGCAACAGCCCTATATGCCAGACAGTGCCCATAAAGTAAATACCAGTCGCATCTGAGCTCATCAGGGTGCTGTACACATGGCTTTGGTCCCAGTTTTACTTCCGTTTACAAGGGAATGCAAGGCTGTTGCTTGTTGTATAAATGCGCAGACTCATTTAGTTGCACCCTGCACTGCTTCTTTAACAGGTGTGTGGAATGAGGCCATGGAAAACAGTGAGAAACTTACAGAGCAGTTGTGTTCCTGTTTGCATAACATTTCACAACTTATTTATTTTAATTTTTAAAAATTTAAAGTTTTATGTTCATCTTTTGCTCGCATGAGTGTATGTGCCTGGTGCCCACAGAGGCTGGGAGAGGACGTTGGATCCTGTGGAACGGAAGTTAAAATGGTTGTGAGCTGTCATATGAGTGCTTCTAGAAGAGCAGCCAGTGCTCTTCCACTGAGCCGTCTTTCCAGCCCGAAATTTCAAAACTTAAACTGGGGAGCATACGAAATCTTACTTAGAAAGACAGATGTGTATGTGTGTGTACACATATAGAGATGCTATATGTAAAGCAGGATTATACACAAAGGATACTCATTAAACTTTTCATTGTTTACATTTCAGATTTGATTTGGCCAACTGTAATTTAAATGATGAGCATGTCAACAAAATGAACTCAGATAGAGTTCCAGATGTGGTAAGGCTTTAGGGTTTTTTTTTTGTTACAGTTTTTCCAATGTTATAGAGGGTTGATGTAACTCTGTATATTCTGGGCACCCCCACCTCCAATGATCAAAACTTCCATTTTCTTAGCACTACTTCATACTGCCTGACCTGGTGGCACAGGCTTATAATTTCAGGTTCGCAGGAGGCTGAGTTGGGAGGATCACAAGTTCAAGACCTACCTGGGTTAAAGAGTGAGTTTAAGTGAATTTAGGATTGGATTGGGAAACTTAATGCAACCCTGTCTCAATAAAGCAAAAACAGACAGAAGATTGGGGATATTACTCGGGGACAGAGTACTGCCTAGCTTGCATAAAGCCTTCCTTCAGTCCCCCAGTACTGCCAAACAGAACCAAATACTGTAGATAGAATGCAAATGAATTTTTACCTGGAATTGATGACTATTAAAATATATCCAGACTCAATCTTATTGGGTTCAGCTTATTTTATGCATTTTCTCCACTTCACAGGACATTTAGAATTAAGACCATTATTCAGTATCAGATACAAATTAGAATTGAAAATCATCTTCTTAGTACCAACTCAAGAAAGACTTTTACTTGTGAAGTCTATAGAGTCATAATGTTCATAAATAGCAGTGGATGAAGGATGATACTCCTACTTGCTTAATCCTTTTAGAGTAAACATGGTTTTCTTTAACTGTGAGCAAAATGAAGTCCTGGTAATAGGAGGTTCATATTTCAATTAGTTGTTCTTCAGTTGATAAAATAGAAAAAAAAATTGGGGTATGGGTCAAAATGGGTATTTACTTTTTAGATGTACTTGTTTAGTTTAATGTGTATGACTGTCACATGTATCAGTGTGCACCAGTGTGTACAGTGCTGGTGGATGTCAGAAGTTGTGAGATTCCCTGGAACTGGAGTTACGTGTGTTGTGAGCCACCATGTGGGTGCTGGGAACTGAACCCAGGTCTTCCTCAACTGTTGAGCCAACTCTTGAGCTGCAGGGTAGATATTTATTAAAAGGTCACACGAAGAAACCACTAGTTATCTTAAAACTTCCCTGTTTTCTAAAATTTTCACTACATAATTATTAAATGTTATAAATTCAGGTAAATTTTGTAAATTTAGCTTATGTGAAAAATGGAGTGTCTCTCTAATGTTTCAAAGTGCTGTATGAATGGCGACTGAAAATTAAAGTTTAGGAACAACAAGGCAAGTTCTTGTCATTAAAAATTTGACATTTAGCCATTTGAAACTTTCACAGTTGGGTAAGCAATGCTGAAGTGTGTCCTCATTACTGCATGGTAAAGGTTTGAAAATAAAAGTTCTCTTGACACTGCCTCTTGATCTCTACACCTTTCTTCTGAAGTGTAACTGCTGCTATCAGTTCGACTCCCTGGCATGCCTAAGTTTTAAATTTTTTCCCGACTGTGTGTCTCTGTGCTGTAGCTGCAGATATTTCTCTTACAGGTGTTAATTAAGAAGAGCTATGACCGAACCAAACGCCAGCGCCGTAGAAACTGGAAACTGAAAGAGCTTGCAAGAGACAGGGAAGACATGGACACGGATGATGAAAGGTCCTGCTTCCCTTAATTAACCTTGAAAGTTGTTTCCAGGGAAACCCTTAGAAATTAGTCTTACACTGTCGAGAAGTTGCTATTACCCAATAGATCTTTACACTCAAAATTAACTTTGGATTAGAAAGTTAAGAATGGAATCTACGTAAGAGAATAGATAAAAGAATGTAATGACAGCTCGGTAATTATTTCCTGGGTTATTGTCTTTTACAGGTTTGATATAAGTAATTTAGTTTAAAAGTTCAAGTATAATGAATATTACCATGTGGATATTACAAATAGATGGTTGCTTATATCTTAAGCTTAGCAAAGTAGTTCATTGACAATTGATATTACTTAGATATCTTAAGCAGAAGAATAGTGTTTTCTAAAAGTGTTTATTGAATGAATTTAAGACGTGACCTTGATTCCTTTTCTTTTTCTCTTTTTGGTATTTTTATTTCTTTATTTTATGTGTATGAGTGTTTGCCTAAATTTATGTCTGCACTATGTGCATACAGACAGTCCCCAAGGAGGGCAGAAGAAGGTGTGAGATTCCCTAGGACTAGAGCTAGAGATGGTTGTGAGCCATGATGTTGGTGCTGGATAGTGAACATGGGTCCTCTGAAGGAACAGCCAGTGGCCTTAACTTCTGAGCCATCTCTTCTGAGCCTGTGATCTTAATTATTGATTGTAAAACATTGAAAAAAAAATGAAGAGTTTACATTATTGGGAAGCAATAACATTTCATAATATAATTTAAAAATATATGTAGCGTGTTAAACTGTTTAGAAGTACATACTTGACTATTTCAGCTGTAATCTTAGCCTGGAGATGTGGCTCAGCAGCTACAGGCTCCTGTGTGCAATCTCTGTGAGCAGAGTTTACATACAAAGTGAAGGAGAGAACTGACTCAGCCCTGTCCTCTGGGCTGGAAAGATGCTTCCTGCTCTTTCAGAGCACCCAAATTGAGTTCCCAGCACTCACATGTGATGGTGCCTCTAGCTCCAGAGCCTCTAGTTCCCCCTTGTGGCCTCTGCAGGTACCCTCACATTCTGGCATATGCTCACACAGACACACACATACACACTCACAAACAAATAAGAGTAAATCATTAAAACACAATGCACCCCAGGTAGTCTTAAAAGGTTATGTATTTTGCTTGTCCATGAGAATTGGCATGTGTGGGTAGAATGAAGGTGAGGTATCTTCATGGTCTTGCATTTAATATCACCTTAATGTTCGTCAGTTATGTAATATTGCAAGGAAATTTGTTTTCCAGCCTGCCTACTTAATTAGCATCCATTGACCTTTGTATTACAATACTTGAGAATGTGCTCAAAGTTTCTTCTTCTTGTAGGCAATATCAAGATTTCCTTGAAGATCTTGAAGAAGATGAGGCAATTAGAAAAAATGTCAACATTTACAGAGGTTGGTGTTTTAGGTGTATTGAAGTCATGTTGTAGATAGTATCTGTGAGGATATTTGGTATTTTAAACTTTCATAAGTAACTTTTACTTGTCTTACAAACAACTGTAGTCAGGCTTTTGGTGACAGATAAATAAGGAGCAGTAAAATTTACTGAATATTATTTGCTGTATACATAGATGTGGTTGCTATCCCAGCCTGGTTCCTTAAGTTGCTAGCTCTTTAGTTTGCTCCTTTACTCAGTAAGTATTTGAAAGCGTGCCGTACGGCTGAGAGCTTGTACTACAGCATAGTTAGTACTGATGATGGTAAGGGTGATTGCTTGTGCATTTCTGTATTCTCATATGTGAAATACCTCTCGGCTTCCTTAGATCCCACCATCCCTGTGGAAAGTGACACAGATGATGAAGGAGCCCCTCGAGTTAGTCTGGCTGAGATGCTTGAAGACCTTCATATTTCTCAAGATGCCACTGGCGAAGAGGGCGCATCAATGATGTCATGAGTCATGTTATATGCTATTTGCATATCTGTGACCTCAGGAAGTCAGCAAAATGACCTTATCCTATAGTACATTCATTTCTTATATTTTGAGAGAAGTTTGGCCTTAAACTTGAATAAATGACTATTTTGATTGTTTACTTAAAGTATTGAAAAGGTTTCATAATTTGATAGTTAGAAATAAGACATGATGGAATATAGTTATTACTGATATTTAGGCCATCTTATTCAGTTTTATCAGAGGAATTGTAGCTTTACTACTTTAGTGTTGGATTCAAATGACAAAGTTAGGATTCTGTGGATATCAACCAAATATTAGAACATAAACCAACATCCTACATTTGTTTTATATTGATTGCTTTATGAACCTATAAAAATACATATGAATCACTTTTGATATTAACTCAAGCACTTTGGTCCACTTTAAATCATTTTTATATTCTTTGGGTAGGGAAATGAAAGTTCTGTTTATCACTGGACAGTTGGGAAGGTAATCATTTTATTTCTATATAGAATTAATGTCCTTGCTCCTTTTCTCCCTTCCTGGGAGTAAGCTCAAGGCCTTATGCTTGCAATGTTGGTGTCCTATCATCGAGCTACAACTTTAGCTATACAAAAAAACTTTTAACTGACAGTTATTTTAATTTTTATTTCAATAGAATGTATTTTAAATATAAATAAATAGGCTAGTTTTATAGCTTAAATAGCAGTTTGTTTTGTATTGATTCTACCTTGGACAGCATTTTAGGGTGATAGCTTGCTTACATTATAAAAATACCTGCCCATTTTATCAAGGATATGGTTTTTAAATTTGGGGTTTCAAGTTGAAAAGGAAGACTTTTTCTGTAAGTTTCTGTCATTGAACATAGCACACCACCATCAGCAAGAATGTGATTGTAGATGATGGAATAGGAAAATCTTTTATAAAACCAAGAATAATGCCTTCCATATTCTGAAAGAAGAGTGTTGGCTTGGGTTTAAACATTTCGAAAATGAAGTTTTATTACCTTGTTCCTATAAGCTAAACACACTTTACTGAATGCTCTTTACTTAGTCTGTATATACCATTAAATGTGCACATGGAACCAAGTACTCAGTGCAACACGGTCTCTTAAGACTCAACTCCCTGGTTTTTGAAGTTAGGAATAAAGGCACAGACGTCCTGCAATCCTCAGTTTCTGTGTGTGTGTTCGCCTCACAGGCATTCTGCTCTGGTGATAGACTGACGAGGATTTCTGTTCTTCAGAGATGAGCATGGCCTCATCAAGTCCTCACTTGTTTTGCCACAGGTTGGTTTATCAGGATTTTAAGGCAGCATCTCGTGCAATTTTCTGAAGTGGAGTTGTCAGTTTAATATTGAAGTGACTTTCCCACTTAAAGACTTAGTTTCCCTCTAGCCTTGGTCTTTCTTGAGTAAAGGTCTTTCAGAGTTAAGCAGCTTGCTAAGTCTACCATTTCAGTGAGTCCCATGATACTGTGACTACTCTTCCAGGGGTGATAGTGGTTGGGGAGCTAATCTCAGTCCAATGCACAAGAAGTTTTTATCAGCTTTGTAAATTCTGGGATATCATTGTATGTAATAGAACACACACCTGAAAGCTGCTGTTTTGTAGTCATTGTGTGTGTGTGTGTGGAAAATGCCCAGATGTTTGCCTGTTAAAGCTGTCTTTTGTCAAGCAAGTTTCACTTTGATGTAGTTCCAGTCATACATTTGTTTTAAGATTCATGTCTCATTAGGCAAGACAACTGACAACTGAAATTCAGATTTTCAAATAATACAATGGCCTTTGTATTAAATATTGTTGAGAATGTGGCTGGAGAGATGGTTCAGTGGTTAAGAGAATTGCTATATTCTCAGCTCACAACCCTGTAACAATATCGTAACTCCAATTCCAGGGAATCTGATAAATATTCTGGCTTCTGAGGTCCCCAGGCACGTTTGTGCAGGTTAAACACCCATACACATTAAAGAAAACACAAAGTTGTTGAGAATTGAGGTGCAGTAGTGCATGCCTTTAATTTCACCCTGGGGAGGCAGAGGCAGGCAAGTCTCTGTGAGTTCCAGGGTAGTCTATAGTTTATATTGCTTGTCAGGCCAGCTAGGGCTAGGCTACATAGTAAGACCCTGTCTTAAAACAAACAGTGGGTACTGCCATCAAGCTTAATGTCCTGAGTTCAATCCCTGGGACCCACATGTTGGAAAGAGAATGCTAATCATGTAAATATGAATAACAAACAAAAAAGAAAACTGTTGAATGACTTGAGGGGTAGTCACTTGAATTTTCGTGTGCAGACATACCACCCTGTACATGCCCTGTTTTGTATGCATTTTCAGTACCACTGCCCAGTGCTTTGTAAGTAATGGAATTTGAACCATTCACAGTCTAGATTAAAATGAGATTTAGCCTTTGGGGAAGCGATTGACGTGGGTTTTGGTCTTCTGAAACTAATAGAAATATTTTCCTACCTTTTGTGAAGTTTTAAGTGATGAGACAGGAATTTTAGGGTTAGTTACAATGTCCACCAGGTGGCACTAATGCTTGACTGATCTGAAAGGCACTCTACCAGGCTTCAGGAAACACCAGGCGAGGCTCAGGTTGTGTGTGCTCCTGTGGTAACAGCACTCGCTGACTTCAGTAATTACCACGTAGGGCATGGTCAGGACACGTTCAGTTTCAGGAGGCTAGGCTTTGAACAGTGAGGCAGTTTAGATTTTCTTTCTTTTTTCAAGTGACTTTTGGGTTATGATTTAAAGCTCTGCATGGAAGAAAAATTTAAAGTATAGCCTATTTAAATTTGTGTTTGAATGCATATAAATCCTACAGGTTCACAGAAAAATTGGAAATGAACATTGTATCACTTAATTTTATATGTTGATAATCAATATTGCTTCCCTTATTTACTAGACTGACCTATAAATCCTTTTTCATCATGAGAAAAGACCATAAAGACTGGGCTCTTGAAAAGCTAAGTTCCTTATGTATTTATTAGTATGTCCAGGGATCATAACCTTCTGGACTGCACATAAAAGTCAAAAAGCCATGGAGAGTCCATGGCACCAATGGGAGCCAGGCTGTCTGTGTGACTGCCTTAGAAGGGTGTTTGTCAGCGCCCACACCCTCCTACTAATCTCTGTAGCACAGGTGACTAATGGTTTCTACTCCTGGAAAATAATCTCCACAGCCTTCTGGTTGCTGCTGGCTTACAGTTGGTACTCTGCTTGATTTCATTGTTGACTACACTTCCAACAGTTACATCCACACTTTCCAAGTGTGGCCAGTAAAGCAATAGTCCTCCAAGAAGCTACTTTGGGGGAGTATAGGAATTGGGGTTTAAAAAAGATAGCTTTGTCTTTCCCTCTGTTTAGCTTACCTTATCGCACTCTGAAGCCCTAGGCTTGCTTCTCAAATGGCTGGCGCTATTCCCTGAGGAATGTTTGATGGGTGGTGGTGTCACAGTGTTTGGCCTGGTAACCACAGTCCCCATAAGAGGCTCATGAAAGTCTCTACCACCCACCCCCTTGGATTTTAGCTCATCTTGACAAGTCTTGTGGCAGTATATAATTAAGACTGCTGCCTACATCTGTTTACATTTAAATATGGAGTAATTGAGATTTTATAGAGACTGAGTATCTTAAGAACATAGTGACTGTGTATTTCAAGTAAAGACTTAGCTTGGAACTTTACCTAAAATTGCTCACCACCATCATCAGTGCTACTGCTGGCATTTGAATGACTGATAGAGCATAGCTGTGTGGCTTACATGTGTACCTGTCAGCTTTGTGGTGATGATACAGATGAAATGATCTAACTAAACCGTTGTTGCCTCTTTTGGAAGTTTTGCTGATGTAGAGTCTATTTGAATCTTATTTTAGGGTAGTAATTAAGGTGTTAAAAAGCAGCTTACTGCAAGGATGTTTTGGCTCTGGTAAATGTGGGAACTACTACTATATTTAAAAGTCTAGAGAATTTTTCCCTAGCTAAATTTATTTCATAATAGAGTGTTTTTATTTGATGCCCGCTGCCAAGTTTTGTTAAGCTATTTGTTGGGTTTTCATTTGTCTTTTTGACTGAGTATAAATTTATTACCCATCCAACATGGGAACCTAGACTAAAGAATAGTCTAGGTGGGATTTGGACAAGGCAGAGCTGTGACTGAAGTACCTGGTGGGAGAGGGTGGTGCATGCCCTGCCTTGAGGTGCAGTTGTGTGCTTGGAATGGCTGTGGACTGAGCAAGCATGGCCTTTTGCCCTCTCTGTCTCTCCCTCGCCCTGGGCCTCTCCCCTCGCCCCTCGCCCCTCTCCTGGGGTGACCTGGAACTGGCTCCTTCCTCTTCAACTTTGCATACTGACATACTGTTTAGGGAAGTAGATTCCTTCTGGCTTTCTCATGTCCGCATAGCTTCTTCCTGGTCACTCGCGGATACCTTTTTCTCATATGGGCTTTGTGTCTTTCTTAGCCTGTAGGTTACTTGAGTGACTGCAGGCCAGAGAATCTCCTGGTTTATGTCTAACACCCACGTATGCACACCAGCCTGGGTCTTCATAGAACCTTTGTTCTCTGGTTGCCTACAGAACTGCAGCAAATGCTGCAGGAGACTGTTGTCACTCTAGGTTCCAGACTCTTCAGGATTCTAAATCACAGCCAGACTAGGTCCCCACGGCTCGCTCAGAGCAGCTTGGAGGTCCCTAGAAGAGTCCTGAGGATAAGGGGGCACATTTCAGCTGAGCTGGCGAAAAGCTGGCCATAAGGCTACTTGCTCCCCATCACTGTCACTTGACTTCTGCTGGGGCTTCTCTGGTGGATCTTGGGCCTTTTGTGGTAGAAGGCTGTAGTCAGCAATTGGATCTCAGCAGCACTAGGCTCTCCTGCTGATCTAGGGCTGGCCCTCAGTCGTAGTAAAGAGGTCAGTTTTGAAATACTGCCTACTTCAAGTCCCAGCTCAACTGTCACATTTTTTTTCCTATAGGTTCTCAGAATAAATTACTCTTTGTTGTCTGTGTGTCATAGCATTTTAAATATATTGCTGATCAAACAACCCGATGGCATCTAAAAGGAGTCTGCCTATATGCTTTAAAGGAGCTATATAAGCTTATCAAGAATAAAAGTTGCTTTTCTCTTCTGGGTGTTGAGTGTGTGTGTGTGTGTGTGTGTGTGTGTGTGTGTGTGTGTGTTGGACAGAGGTCAACTTTTGGTGTCTTTTGGCAGGCACCATCATCTTGTTTTTTGAGACAGGGTCTCTCATTGCCTTTAGCCTGCCAAGTAGGCTAGGCTGGCTAGCCAGGAAGCCCAAGGTCTGCCTGTGTCTTTGTCTAGCACCAGGATTACAAGCAAGCATCACCAAGCCTGGCTTTTTTTAAGTGTTCGGTTCTGTGGATGGAACCCAGGTATTTGTATTTGAGTGGCAAGCTCTTTATGGACTGAACTCTCTCCTTAGCCCCAGTGTACCCTATGGACCTGTCCCTGTTTGCAAGCTTTCCATTGTGAGTAGAACGATGAGCTCATTAACTTCCCTCATAGGTCAGCAAGATGAAGACCAGTGACTGCTACTTTCTAATTTATTATTTCAACAAGTATCTCAAGAGCTACCTGTCAAGACACTTGTATGTCCTAAGCATGAAGTATGAATAAAACACATATTTCTCACCTCCAGGGAGTTTCCAGACCACTCCACTTTAGACTTTGCCTGATTAAACAAATGTCACCTCAGGTGACAGTGAGCTGAACCAGAGCCTTCATCCTTGCTCTCCTGACAGGTGCTGATGGCAGCCCCCGCAGAGAGCAGAATGTTGCCTACTCCTGGCACTCCCAACATGACTAGTGCATCTAGCTCTCCTTGAAGGCTTGGAACTGTCATGAGCCCATTGGTAGCCTTATTTGTCACCTAAGGACTGCTTGGGTACTGGGGACATAGTATGGATCTCCCGAAGTGCCCAGCGGAGATAGACCAAGGGTGAATGGGAATCATACACATTTTTTCAAGCTGTGTTTATTTATTTCTAATCCAGTGGGATAGGAAATTGGCAGTTTTCAAAGCTCAGACAGGGATGGAGCTAAAGCTTAAATAGACTGAGAGAGGAGGAGAGAGAGAGCAAGGGAGACAGGCACACCCGAGGGCCAGTGAGATCCAGGCTGAGGGAGGGTCTTCCTCTGGAGCTCACATTGGCC